TACCTCCCCATCGCAAGGAGGCTCTCGCGGCTATCTTCCAAGAAGCTAGCCGCCTGCAAGCGCGTCAGCAACAAACGCTGGATGCAAATCCTCGGAAAACTCCGCTTCGTCTCGGTCGCTAACGGGGTTCCGCTGGGCTGTTCAGCGCACTCCAACTCTGTTCGAGTGTCTGTCGTATAGTGTCAATGATCCAGCCGAGGATGAGTTTTCGGGTGGCCCAGCGTGCCGTGCCTTTTAGTAATTTCTTCAAGGAGACGGCTTCTTGCGATGTTTTCGTCCAGGTTTGGCGCGAGGTCTCGTCGATGCAGTGGAGAAGGTGGCGACGAAGACGTTCATGGCGGTGTTTCCTCCTTGGCCCGAGTTGATGAAGTCGTCAACGAAGACATCATTGCGGCCTAGGGGACGGTTGTAGACTCTGTTGGAGACTGCCGCAATGTCGTCGTCGGCGGTGGACTCGAGGGTTCCGTGGCGATTTCAGGAGGGCCTGAGTGCGGACTCGTCTTCGGCGTCGCGGGGCCGTGGAGTCAAGGAAGGGTCCAGGTCGTCCTGGCGAGAGGCCGGTTCTTCGAGGCGGCGCGGCGGACAAGAGCGCGATGAGTGCGAGAAGCGCGAGTTACCGCGGTCGCAGGCAGTTTCGGAATTCCGCTGAATGTAGGAGGGGATTGGACCCAACCCCTGGTGGAAGACATTGGGATGGCTACCAGTTGGGGTTCTCCTTCGTATTTTGGGGGAGAGCGTGAGACGGATGCAGTCTGAGGCGTTCAGGAACATACGGTAGAACATCCTTGATGTCGTGCTTGCAGAGGCGGACTGGACCAACTTGGGGTTTGCGTGACGGACATCGTAGAGAATCCGGGAAGGGCGCCTCCGAATTGCATGGCTTCGGGTGGGGCATTATGAACAGTGGTTTGGTTCACCGAGGGCCATCCCCAGTCCCAGGAGTGATCGCTTGATGAGACGGGGTTTGCGGTCCCGTTCTTCTTTGACAGCAGCGGCGGATAGCAGCAAGGAAGGTTCGTCTTTGACAAGGTCGTAGGTAGGACTACCCAGAACTTGTTGGTGATAATTCGGAGAATTCCTCTCGGAGGAAGGCGGAGTGCTCGGTGGCAGACTTGTGGCATCCACGGTGGGATGCATTCCTCCTTCTGCTCGGCGGTCCAAGGAGGGGAGTTGTTGTTGACGGGACCCCATGGTCACGCCATTCGGTGAGCAAGGTATGGCTGGATGATCGATTGTTCCAGTTCGGGGGAGGGTAGGATTCGGAAGTTTGTGACAAAGGATTCCCAGGACTCGGCTTGGTAGTAGTCGCGGATAATTTAGTAACTAAAGTACCTAGACGATCATATTCGGACAGATCTGGTGTCAACGGGAGTACTAGTAGTTTTTGGTGTGTCGTGGAGGCAGACTTTGAAGGTGAGGGACGTTTCGCAGGGGCGAGTTGTCGAAGAGTGAGAGCGCTTAGTAGGTGAAGGAGTGGAGTTGTTGTTGTGTGGAGTGTATGAGAATGTGTAGACGTGTTTATGTTTAGGGCAGGAGTGCTCCGTCGTTTCTACCGGACGGAGGGACATCAAGGCTACTAGGTAGGGCGAGCCAAACTGTCTTCGAGGTACAGGGGCACGGTGAACGGTTGGGTCGTACCCACCGCTACCGTTGTCCCGGGCGTGGAGACTCACGCTTGTGCTCTGGCCACTCCGCAGGTGGTCAGAAGTTCGTGGGCTTGTTGTTTGTCACAGTTGGGTAGCGTTTGTGAGTAGCAGCTCGCTTGCAGGCGAGATGCAGTTTCCCTTTCAAGGCCCAGGCTAGACAGACATCTTGACCGCCGTGCTGAGGGATGGTGAAGTCATGTCCGCGGGTCATCTCCCAATGGAGCGATGACCTGCGGACTGGAATCGTTTGAGAAGGTCGTTGTCCCCGTGAGCGTTGGTGACCCCGTGGGCTCCGGCCTTCTGTTGATGATTTCCGGCAGGTTGTCAATAGTCAGGGTGGAGCGAGAGGTTTGATGAGGGGGTACCAGTAAGGCGGGAGAGTGGCTAGGACTGAGGCCCGATGAGATTGGACGTGTCCAAGAGTGTCGTGAAGTTTGGAGGCACAGCCGTACGGTCGGTTACAGCAACTTGACCCAGGCAAAGTAGTCCTGTTGTATGTCATAGAGACGCGGCCAATGATGTCCATACCTAGACTGGGTTTGTCGGCGTAGTTTCGGGCAATGGTTTATAGGCTGGGACCAAGTCTTCGGACTACGCTTCGGAAGTTCACGGAGATCGCGTGCTCAACCCAATGAAAGACATCCACTAGGATTGAAAAGCCGTAGAGTTTTTCTTCGGCGGTACGAGGATCTACTGGAAACTTCACGTCCGTCGTGGGAGAGTGTCTGCGTCCTGCAGAGTGATGGAGTGTTCTCGCTCGACGAGGGTTGCCTTGGAGGCTAAGTCCATCACAGCCTTGGACTTCGTGTCCTTGACATATGACAGAGAAGGAGAGAGACCAACCCCGAGGACCTGTCCAGAGGAAGAAATCTCGTACTTTCGAAAGACCTTGTCGAGGATGTGACCAGTGGCCAAGGGTTTGTTTTCTTGTTCGATGCCAAGCGGGGAAGCACCGGTGCGTATGTCAGTGCATTGAAGGGTGCTGTAGTCGCTACCTTTCGAGCAATCGGCCAGGAGACGATGGATCTCAGGTAGGTCGTCGTCAGAGGCCACGTTGCAGAGGTTGTGGATGCGAGTGGCCAGATTTACTCCGTATTTGGACGTGAAGGTTTTGGTTCCTCGAGTGCGCTCGAAGTTTAGTTGTTCACGGTTGACGTTGTTGAGTGTGTCTTGGATGCCGGCCACTCCCGCGTTGAAAGTGTCGTTTGTTAGTCCAGGTCCGGTGGCGCCTAGGGCAGTGAGCAACGGACGATTGACTGAGTTTAGGCATCGTTGGAGAGCCATGACGTTGGCAGGGAGACCAGAGTATTCCCCGGTGATGCGTAGGAGGAGCCGCCAGCATCGCTGGTGCAAACAGCGCGAAACCATTGGACGAGAGGGACGATGGCATTTTGACGGGCGACTTCAGCATGAGATCTCGGGAGCAAGGATGAGTTTCGGAACTGGACGATGAGTAGCGACCGGTAGGTATGAGTAGGGCACGCGAGTCAGGTAGTGAGGAAGGGGCATGACGCGACGGATCGGTAGGTGTCAACGTCCGCTTCGCCCGGTCCATGGGGACCGGAGTGAAGGGTAGGAGGGTCGTCTCCTAACATGTCGGGACCATCCAAATGGGCCAGTGTCTTGCAGCGTGTCT